AACACATGGGCACCCCATGTGTAGAGTATTTAGCAACACCTATGTTCCAGATCCTAGCTGGGCCAGGCGGAGACTCCACCCACAAAACGCTCGAATAAGAACACAACAGCGTTTTACATACCGAGATATCATCATCAGCCAATTTGCCTTTGATGATACTGACATCAAAAATCTGTGGACTATGGTTCGATAGCTGTGCCACGGTTTTCCACACACCAGCGAGTGACTAGTTTCGTTCCCAGCCTCTTCACGAAAACTCTAATAAACCACGACCAAAAGAAAAAAAGAAACGGCCCTGCACAGATTCGAACTGCGACCTTGTAAATATACTTTAGATGTCATTAAATCGTAAATATACCCCATATGCAAGCCATTACACCACGGGGCCGTTGGATATTTGGTATGTGTTTGACTTGAATATGACCTGAAATGCAAATTTTTCGTGGGTCGGAGAAATACGGACGAAAAAAGTGGAGTCACTCGCCGCACTTCGTCGCCGATGCGGTGTCTTACGCTTGAGTGGCTGTGATTTGTGTGGGGGATGGGACGAGGCGTGCGAATATCTACTTTGTGCTTGTGGTGTTGTTAGGTCGATCTCAGGATTCATTGATATGATGATCATGAAGAGGGAAAAGCTGAACCTAATACACTGTAATGGTATCTCGTGGGTGAGGGAACGCCTAAAATCTGCCGCAACAGCTCTTGTTTCTGCCTTCGTTTCTCAAGCCTGACATTGGGTGTAGTTTCCACACTCCAACCAACTAAGGTTGATGAAATCAATTCCGATCAAATCGCAGACTATTGGGCACCCACTCATCCGTAAAAGCCCGTAGTTGTACCGTGTGATCCCACAGCCTAGTCGCCAACGAAAACTCTAATTAACTGCCTCACATTTTTAGTACTCCTGCGATGGACCCTTCCCATAAGCAAACGAAAAAAAAGAAACGACCCTGCACAGATTCGAACTGCGACCTTGTAAATATACTTTAGATGTTTTTATATCGTAAATATACCCCACGTGCAAGCCATTACACCACGGGGCCGTTAGATGTTTGGTTTATGTTTGGTTTAAACATAAAGGGAAGTTAGAGTTCGTGTCCGTGATACTAAGTACGCTGGCTGTGTGATGGATAAGGTAGAAGCATGATGTAGATGATTATATGGCACCATATATGTGGGCTTCGTACTTAAGAACGCTGGGTGCAGAACACGACAGGCCGTGGTATGTGGATGGACGTACAGTATCTTCTAATTTTCTGTAATTTTAGGGTGGTTCGATCTGTCTCTGGATGGAACAGCGAATTACAGAATTTTCGTGGAAGGCGTTCATACGGGAGGGACCTTGTGCATGACTTTGGAGTATCAGTGCTAGCAGATAGCTTCGAGAAATATGGCGAAAACCCGCGATATCGGATATTCTTGGCGTGTGTGCGACTTACAATTTTCATTCCCACATTTTCTCATCATTCACAAGATGTTTATCAGATAATTGGATTTTAAACCTTCGCCATGGTTTGCTGTTTCATCTCGAAATGTATGCAGGGGACACGAGATCAACCAAACCCAGTGGAATCGATCCAAAATCAAAGAACAGATTATTACAGGTAACAAACGGCTTTCCATATCTCATCTCCAGTTGAATCGCTCTTCACTAAGTGCAAAGCGGCTTTGACACCGGTCCTCACACCATCTAAAACTCTAATTTCCCACCCACCAGAGCATTGTTTTGTCATTCCAATAGCTCACATTAGAATCCCGAAACCTAATTCTCTCCCACCCACGTAGAAAAAAAGAAACGGCCCTGCACAGATTCGAACTGCGACCTTGTAAATATACTTTAGATATCATTAAATCGTAAAGATACCCCACATGCAAGCCATTACACCATGGGGCCGTTGGATATTTGGTAGGTGTTTGACTTGAATATGACGGGAGCTGCTCGGAACTAAATATTCCGCTTCCCAGGGTACATTTCATAACACCAAGCAGAGGGTTTTCTGAGTTCCTCGTCGTTGTACCCTAACTATGTTTATAGACTTCTTATCTACTTGAGTCGCCATGGAGGAAGAGATGGAGTCATCCGCACTACCCCATTTCTTCATATATTCAATTCCGAAGGGTTGCTGAATTTGGTTTCTAGCAGACAATTGGATGGGTCCTAATTTCTAAACGACTCACGGGGTAATCGTGGCTCATATACTCTCCTTGTAACTACCCCCCGAGTTGCCATCACTCCTAGACTTAGTGTATAAAAGTATTTAGTCAAATGTATCCAAGACCTGCCGTAGTCTAGTAGATGGGTCATGCTAAATAATTTAGACTTTGGCGAGCGAAGAAGGGTTTGCAGGATAAGGCCATAAATTCGTTTGGTGAATGAGTGCCGAATATTACTGCTGCGGTTGTATTGGTGTCGTGATGGAGTGATGAAGTGTGTGAATGCACAGTAAAACGAGTAAGTACGAGATCGTGCCCTACTCTGTAACGAATACAACCTACTGGCAACTATTCATTCCTTCCGACTATACATCCTTTAGCACACATCAAAATGTCTTCCTTCTTCGCACATGCAACGACCGTGCTCATAAGCCATTATCTACCTCCTTCACAATCAGCAACGCTTCCAACCGGCGAAAGCCCCGAGCGCACGAGAGCAAGCGACTGGCAACAAAGCATCTTGAACTACGGTTGTCGAGACCATACTAGAGCAACAACGGAAAGCTGGACGAAAACTATTAGATCAAGGGCAACGAGAAGCCACCTCCTCTCGTGATCACGATACCTCAGTGACTCGATGCCGAAACAGAACCATCTGGGTTCAAGAGTATTGGGAAACAACAGCTTCGAAACACAGATAGAGACGGCATACTTGATGACATTCAGGAGAACAGTAAAAAGGAAATAGCTATCATTTTTGCCTCGAAGGGAAGGGGGTTCCAAAGCGAGAGGATGAATATCGGCAAGACTTGACTGGATAATAGGGATTGGCTCCCAGCTACAGCTTTGGGATCTGATTATCTATCGATTTTTCATTAGTAGTTCACAATCTGAGGCTCTGCGGGCCAGGAAGTTAAGGTGCGGTCCACATTGTGGAAGCTATTTACTGGTATGAATCCGGGCTCGTTGTGAATGGGACGAACCCCTCAGCAGCCCTGTACAGCAAGAGGAGCTTCTTGCGCTTCACAAAAGACATTCCAAGACCAATAAGAGGAGGAAAAGAAGGCACACCAGGCAAATTGTGACAAACTCGGAGGTACACAGGCTCACGCCGTACCGCCGGTGCTGATTTCGAGATCCGTGGCACTAGTCTCCACGAAACCACGAACGTCTTCTTTATAAAAATAAAAATTGTTGCAGTGGAACAAGGTTCAGTAAACATCCCAGAAATTTCGGATGAGGTTGGTATCATCGGTCTGGTAAGTGAACCATGCAACAGTCTACGTTGGATTCTGATCAAATCAAGCGCTCACATATATTGAAAGATGCAGCGATAACATCGCTGATGTTGGTAGTTCAAATTTAGGATATTCCAGAAGTCAATACACTTTGAGGTACCATACAGATCGCTGCGTGGGCCATTTTCCCCTACCATTACCATATACGCCACCATCTTGGGGAGATTACACTGCTAAGACTGGGAAGCAAAGGCGGAGACGAGTGGAGTAAATTATAACTGCCATCTTTTTGGTTTCCGCCTTTGCCATTTTTCTCCTGTTCTTGGAATTTAGCCTGCTACTTTGACCAATAAGAGGAAAGATGTCTGAGCTAGGTTGGAATATGATGAAATCAAGAGCTCAGGTATCTTCGAAGGTGCAGCACGTCTGGGAGAGGAGTTTTCTTCTCCTGTTCAATAATCCCCGAGCGAATTACTGGTGCATGGTCACTGATTGTCGCTTCAGCATATCCCACAGGCTACAGAGACTTGTGATAGAACCTTAACTATTTGCCTTCACGACGGCCCTAGTTCTTGCGAGAAGTGGAGGTGTCGAATAGATTACTTAGGCGATGCGTGAACTTGCAGCATAGAGTACAAATGGCAGCATATAGATGATAGGAAGTTAACCCAAAGGGACAGAAAGAATTGCGAAGGTATTAATACAAGAACGATTGGCTATTATTACCTAATATATTGAGAATGAAACTTCTTTATCGGCTCTTTAGTCCTTCGCCCTTTGTTCACCGAGGAGATATCCAGAAACACCAAGCAAGGGTAGTGCAATGTGCAGTTCTGGTCATAGTTCTGCTCCAAAGCTCAACCCATAAATGTGGCCCAATCACATTAATATTATTCCGCACAAAGATCTCAGGAGTACCCGGCCAGCGTTCCGCCCTCTCAAGAAACGTTTGGATGTATTTATCTTACCGACCAGCCAACGGAGATCACTCCTCCGAAGAGTTGTATTTTAACTTTCCGTAGCTCCTTATCATGTTGGTTCCAATTACAATACCATTCCAAGGGTCCCGTGGTGTAGTGGCTTGCACGCTGGGGGATATATTTGAGATTTACTACTATCTAAAGTATATTTGAGAGGTCACGTTTGAATCTGTGCGGGGCCGTTTCCTATTTTTTTGTCTCGAGAATTTATGATGCGTCATTTTGCGTTACTCGGATTTGTGATTTGTCTCGCGGTCTGAGCCTCGAATAGTCTACTGTAGCTACCGTATATCATGTTTCCGTACATGGTAAAGAACATTTGGCTGTGGAAAGTCTGGGGAGTGGGACTTGATTTTGGGTTGTGCAAGGGTTATTATCGACACCAGATCTAGAGTTGGTATGCAGACGGACGTTAACGTTTGAGGTGCAGCAGTGTGCAACATATACGTAGAGCCATCTTCAAGGAAGGATCCCGCCATGTTTTTGTTGTGCGTTAGAAAACTAGTCAGAAAATAGAGAACATTCCTCTGAAGTCTTGACGCCAGAAAGAAGTGAGATAGTTCGGGGGTTGTGCTCAGAAATCACGATTGTGGCCCTTACCCCCCCGCCCCTTCAGCAGCAAAAGAAACGGCCCTGCACAGATTCGAACTGTGACCTTGTAAATACACTTTAGATGTTATTATATCGTAAAGATACCCCACGTGCAAGCCATTACACCACGGGGCCGTTGGATATTTGGTATGTGCTTGACTGAAATATAGCGTGAAATTAGAGTTTCCGAGGCCGTTATCGTGTGAGCGGTTCTGCACATAAACCGTACGTCCTATTCACGAAGTTCTACGGGTAGTTTTTTGTGGAAGTTTTAGCGAAGAATAAGGAGGGGACGGGGTGAGGGGCAGAGGAGGGTGGAAAGTTTGTAGTTCAATTTAGGCGGGTGGAGGAAAGGAGATCAGGAGGTACGACTTGGAAGTAGCTTTGGCTGTGGAAGTATCTAGGATTAGGATATGTCATGGCCGCAAGCGGCCGAATACAATATGATTACAAATAAACAAACGGGTAGTTTTGTCAGTGGCGGTAGTGAGATGTTTCTTAGTATTTAACAACCCCTGGGTTCTTTGTACAAGTGCAATCGTCTTCTGACGCAGAAAGGAGAGATGTTCCCGGTACTACCACCACCCTTTCACTTTGCAGTGGATTTATACGCCTCGCTCTTCTATACCAGTAAAGACTGTTCTACCTCGCTTTCTGTTTGAATTACCTAGTGCACCGTGAGTCATCTTGGCGTATTTTAACTTTCCGTAGCTCCCTTTATCAATTTGGTTCGAATTACAATACCATCCCAAGGGCCCCGTGGAGTAGTGGCTTGCACACTGGGGGATATATTTCAGATTTACAGATATCTAAAGTATATTTAAGAGGTCACAGTTCGAATCTGTGCGGGGCCGTTACTTTTTTGTTTCTGCTGTGGTGGTAATTAAGGTTTGGGTCCTCCACCCAAGTACTGAATGTACGTCTTAACTAAATGTCCAACAGTAATAACAGAATGTGTTTAATACGGTGATGGCTACCCATGGCAAGGCCATTGACAGGAAATTTGGTTTTGTGGAAAGGATGCCGCCCGAAATGGGCTCGTGTATTACCGCAAGTTTGAGATCATGCTTGAGATCATGCTGCTATGAGTGCTCTGCAACCTCGATCTCGGCACAAGCAGTAAAAGAAAACGATTCCACCTGCTCATGTTCCCAAAGTTTCTCGCCTCTCGCAAGAAACAGGTCCAGACAGGTAAACAAATACTGAGACTCCATCTCAACTGCAACAAATTTGAACGAAAGGGTCACTTTGTATCTTGGTATGCATCTACCGTTCGCTTGAAAGTACGTAGAAACCCAAGACCAAGTGATGATGTGCTTAGTATAGTAAGAGAAAGGCATATAACTGAATCTTTTACCGCTATATAATCTTAGTTCGAATTACAATAACATCCCAAGGCCCTCTTGGTGTAATGGCTTGCACACAATGGGATTAATCGATCACACTCCCTCACTCGTTTTATGAAGTCATGATTTTGTTCAAATAGTGATGCTGGAGAAGCTTAATTGTATATTATCCAAGAGGGCCATAAGGCCATATATGTATGAGAGTACAAGTACGGCTGAATGCCATCAGCCAGTATCAGAGTCGACAGTCATCTCCGGACATACGAGACATCACCGTCTCCGCTCCGCTCCGTCTCCGTCTCCGTCTCCATCTCCGCTCCGTCATCTCCGGACATACGAGACATCACCGTCTCCGCTCCGCTCCGTCTCCGTCTCCGTCTCCATCTCCGCTCCGTCATCTCCGGCCATACAAGACACCGTCTCCAGCCATACGAGGCTCATCTCCGGCTGAGACCTGTATATGCAATACTTCCCCCTCTTGCTATACTTCATAGAGCAAGAAACAAAGTGAAATGAAACAAAGTGAATCTCATAGTAGCCTCCTTAAAACCCTGCGATCGTGAGCAGGGAAAGAGTACTACCGTAGCCTGAGGATGGCCATCCATAGAAAAGCAAAGAAATCTGTGTACCCAAGTGAGAGGTCGCGAGAAGGTTCCTTCATTGACTAGCTAGCGACGCACAGGTAACCTGGGCCGTGCGCTATAGCCGAGTCGTAGCCGGGCCGCACGGAGCCGCACGGAGCCGCACCTTAAGTACACGGCAGAACCTCCCACAACTATCCCCGGCTCAAAAAAACTAGTGCCCGCTCCAAAAGAACATTCCGAAAAAGAAAAACTCTGGCCCGGGCAAAAACCCAGTACGAACCAATGAAAACCCATCCTTAACCTTCCTGCCAATGAAAACCCATCGAAAACCCATCGTTAACCTTCTTGCCAATGAAAGCCCATCGAAAACCCATCCTTAACCTTCCTGCCAATGAAAACCCATCCTTAACCTTCCTGCATCCACTTATAGACCAAAAGACCCTTCTCTTGGTGGTACTGCCGCAGTAACTCTTTGCATCCGCCTTTCAGGTTGACCAATGGCTGCCAATCCGGTTCGGGGTATCCAAGCCACTTCACCTTGTACTGTAGGGTTTTGATCGAAGAGCCCTGATGCTCGAGGATTGCTTCCACTTCGTATTCCGGATCCTTATCGGTCATCGTCCGTAATGGCGGGGGTGGAGGATGTTCTCGGCCATAATCCACGCGGTCTCGTTTCAAACGGGATACATTGAAGACATTAGGTATTTTCCAATGAGCAGGCGTATCCAACCTGACGGCATTGACACCGATGGCTTCAGTGATGCGAAATGGGCCACAGAATGGCTGTTGAAATTTCCTGGAGTTAAGATTTGACGACTCAGATTTGGTGAGATTTGCATAGCCAATCGGGAGGAGCGTGGTATCGAGAAAAACTGAGTCTCCCACCTTGAAGTCGTGCGGGCGGCGAGACTTATTGGCCTCCAGAATCATCTTTGTCTGCGCTTCCTCCAGCCGCTCTCTTAGCATGCGGAGGTCTGACATCATCTGCTCGGCGAATTCGTCGGCTTCCAGGCTGACTTTTGACTGACGGTCGGGACTCGGAGTCGGTACGAGGAGGTCAATTGGCATTCTTGGCACGAAACCAATATCGGCCCGAAACGGAGACGTCTTAAGTGACTTATGGTACGCTGCGTTGTACGTAAATTCGGCCAGTGGAAGAAGACGATCCCACTCCTTTTGGCGTTGCGCTACGTAAGCCTTAAGGTAACGTTCGACGACTGCGTTCAGGTTCTCTGCTTGGCCATCTGTCTGCGGATGATAGGCGGTACTGTGGCGGCGTTTAATTCCCAACTGGGCCGTAAGGGAACCCCAGAAATCTGACATAAAACGCGTGTCCCGATCAGAGATGATGTCGTCCGGGATTCCTCTGTTTCGTACCCACATGTCAATAAAATCTTTGGCGAACGCTTCTGCAGTTAAATCTTTTTCCTTTGCTGCTTTCCACCGCACTCTCTTGGTTAGCGGATCGACGATCGTGATTATGCAGTCGTAGCCATCCTTGACCGTGGCTGGCAGCTTGGTAATAAAGTCCACATTAACCCTTGAGGACCGTGTCTCCGGAATCGGCAGCGGTTGCAGTAAGCCGTAGGGAAGTTGATTGGAATGTTTCACACGGTGGCATACGTCGCAACCCTGAACCCATACTCTTATTGATTGAGTAAGCTGAGGCCAATAGAACCGTGATGCGATGGTTGCCGCCGTTTTTTCTGCTCCTTGGTGGCCGCCGCCGAGCGGAGAGTCGTGAGCTTCCGAGATGACGTCGCTCCGCATGTCCGATGGGATGCAGAGTGTTCCCGTGTCCCTGCGAAAAAGAAGGCCATGGTCAAGCCGAAATAGCCTCGCCCGCACGGTGTTTTTCCGATGGTGCTTCCCTTTCGGACGCCGAGTTGCCTGATTATCGGCCTCGTCGGTTATTTCGGCTTCCTCGCGGAGGACATCGACAATTGGACCGAAATATGCGTCTTCAACCAGTAATTCACGTACCTCTTGCTTCCATTCCTCTGCACCGATGATTTGAAGGTCCATGGTGTTCATGCTGATGGTGGCTACTGGGGTTGCTGAGGCTGGATGATGGATTCTGCTCAACGCATCCGCCACAAGGTTGGCCGCTCCTGGGAAGTATTTGATCGAACAGTCAATCTGCTGCAGTTTATCCAAGTGTCGCCATTGGCGGCTGGAAAGCTTCTTCTGGCTTAAGATATGCTGTAGCGACGCGTGATCTGTATATACTGACGTGTGTCGATTGCCAAGGTAAGGCTCCCAGTGGGTTAAGTTGTCGTGGATCGCTAATAACTCGCGGTCATACGCTGCGTACCGCGTCTCGACGTCGTGTAATTTTCGAGAGAAGAAGCCCAGCGGGCGCTCCACCAGCCGGCCCTCGGTTCCCAGGGTTGCTTTTGAGCCAGAACGCCTCCAATCGCCACGTCTGACGCATCAGTGCGCAGAATATAGTCGCGCTCAGGATCGCGTAGTGCCAGCACCGGAGCAGACGCTAAAGCCCTGCGAATATCGTCAAATTCGGCCTGGTGTTTCCGCAGCCACCGAAACGCACGTTTTTCGGTTGTCAACGTGTATAACTCTGTAGTCCGGTGCGCGAATTTGTGTACGAATTTCCTATAGTAGCCTGCCAACCCCAGGAATGATCGAAGCTCGGTTGTACTCAACGGCACTGGCCAGTCTCTCATGGCTGTGATCTTCTTATCCTCCGTGTGAATTCCATTCGAGTTGACCTTGAAACCGACAAACGAAGTCTCCGTGGCTCCAAAAACGCACTTTCGCTCGTTCAACCGGAGACGCGCCGCTCTGATTGCCAGCAAGATAGTTTCCACGTGCAGCTTATGTTCAGCCAGATTGCGAGAGAAAATTAGAATGTCATCTATGTACACAATTGTAAATTTCCTATACGGACGTAAGATTCGATGCATAACGCGCATGAACGCTGACGGCGCGTTGGCCAGCCCAAACGGAATTACCGTCCATTTGTAGAACCCCTCCGGAGCGACAAAAGCCGTTTTATGCCTGTCATCCGGATGTATGCGCAACTGATGGTAACCACTGCCCAGGTCGAGCTTCGTAAACACCCTGGAGCCGTGCAGCCGATCGATGAGATCTTCTATATACAGCAGTGGGTATCGGTCTTTGGTGGTGATTGAATTTAGGCCTCTGTAATCGACACACATCCGGAGTCCAGAGCCATCTGGTTTCT